ACAGTTCATATCCAGACTGGAGTATGTATGTTTGAAGTACGTTTGTATGGACATATTTCATCTACTCTAGTGATCTAAATATGTTCCAGCACCGTGTATGCTCATATTTCATCACGTCTTTTTTATGTTGTGCAAATAATGGCATTGATGCAGCTGCACATCAGATCATGAATACAATGACGATTATTGCACAGAAGAAAATGATGCAACCAAGCATTCAAAGAAGAATGAACAGAAATGTAAATGTGCCTTTATTCTCCCTGCTTAAGAAAGTTAAACCAATATATATGATATATCTTTAAAAAAATGTTCTTCCTCATTTTTCAAACAGACCAACTCTGGACAGTTTAAATACTCATTCGTTAGTAGGAAGGGGTGTCCACATACTTTTGGCCCTGTAATGTATTTCCTTTTAAGGTAGATGCCACATTAGCTTACGTTACAACTATTTGCTGGCTGTTAAGATGAAAGTGTTTAGTTTCGTTCTATTTAAATTTTTGTGTGCCAGTCCTTCCAGACTTGCATTGTTTGCTAGGAATTTTGCATTATTATTGTGAGGAGCCATCTTTATTTCTCTTAGTTGTTCTGCCTTTTCTTAGAGACTGGGAAAAAGGGACTATTCCTAACAAGAAGTTTTAATTCACATTTTGTGTGTACAGGTTGGCAGTTTTTTGTTTTGTTTTGTTTTTCCATTTTGCTCCAGTTTCCCCCACAATCCAATGCTTTGAGGTGAATTTTAGTAAACTAAATTGACCGTAGGTGTAAATGAGAGTGTGCATGTGTGTGTGTGTGAATGTCAGGCCTTCCATCCAGAATGGACACTGTAGACAGAATGGAGAATAGATGGATGACTGGATGGATGTAAGCTGCCAGTTATTTTTTTCATATGAATTGTACAGTAGAACAATGTAGATTTTTTTTCTAAAATTATTATATTATATACTTATATTCTTTTATTACTTTTAAGGATAGAGGAAAGAGGATTGCTACAGACTATAGGTAACCTTAAATTTTATAGCGGGTCAAACCTAGGCATTTCTAATTGTAAGAAGGTATATGATCAAGTAGGATTTGGGAACACTGTTTAATCAAGAGCTCTTACTTATTTAGACACCACCAGACAGGTTATACCAGGGGTTCCTAACTCTAGCCCTCGAGTCTACTATCGTTCAGAGTTTAGCAGAAAAGTGAACCCAGAGCTGAGAACTCTTGGTTTATGTGAATGTTGAAAATTAAAAAATAAATAATTCCTGAAGATTAACTTTAATGAACTGATGTAATTAATAATGTTATTCTGTTTGATGTGGATTAGCAAACAAAACGAATGCATTCTTTTCCTCTTACCTACTCTCCTATTCACCTACCAGATATGATAACAGTCAGTACCAGGAGAGGGCGCTCAAACTCAACTCAAATGCTGTATTGGCCTCACCCTTTTTTAGAAGTGATAGATATTGTTCTTTTGTTTTTGGCTACAGTGTGTGTGTCTGCTGCATAGAGAAAATTGAGTTATACTTCTTTCTCCTCTTCTCTTTCTCTCTTTTACTGTCTATTGATCTGTAAGAATGAAATCTAAAATTAATTGCCACCACAAGAAAAGGATAATCCAGAATAACCTGAACTGTCAAGTCATCATCAGTGCTGCATACCCTCACACAGTGCTACACACCAACGCACAATCCCCATTTCTCTCTGACACGACTCGTTATTCTGTAGTTCATGACATCTGAATCTCAATTCAGCAGCAACAATATGAGCTGCTAAAAGAAAACATCTTCACCCCTACTCCCGCTCCCCATTTTAAAATTGTTGTACCTGAAATTGCAGATGGTCACAAATACATGAAAATGTTTTTAAAATAAAAATACAAAATGCCTCAATTTAAATATGTCACATTAGTATGCACCATATTAATATACACCATACAGTGTGTGGAAAATAATATTGAAAATACACAAAATAGGCCTACATGTAAAATTGGCCATTAAATTACGAAAAGACTGAAATTTATCTGGACCTATTCAGAAGGAACATTTCATGTGCAACTGCTTAGAAACATTCATTTTCACCTCTCTTCTTTCTCAATGTGGCCCACCATGAAATAAGAAATTACGCAAACGATGTTTATACGACTAGCTAATAACTGGCTGCTGATTGCATGCATTGCGAGACGAGGAGTGTAGACTTATCGTTTAATCGTTTAATGGAAGTTAGATAACATTTGTCAATATACATAACATTTGTCTAACTTTCAGAAACTGCAGGATCGACTTCCAGGTTTAATTCCAAGATTTTCAAGAATTGATTCCGAACTAATATTAACGATTCTTGTTGAAAATTCTGTGTGATGGATTATGTGTGCTTACTTAGAACTATTTTCAGCAGTGTTGTAACAGTCAAGTTACTGTAAACAATTGGACAAGCTTTTTGGGATATCGAATTGTTTTAATATTAGTGTTTCTATTGATTTCAGTGAGGCTCTCTCCAAACTTTGGAATCGACTTCCGATTCTGAATGTTTCGAAATTGAAAAATCGATTACTTTTACCATATTTCCTACAGAAACGCAGAAAATGGCTAGATGGAGCCGTTCTCACCTAGCCTACATCTGCAGCTCGAGTACACGACTTTGGGGTTGGGGGGCTTGACGTTGATGCAGAAATTCAGCAGATTTACTAGCGCATTACTAGTATTTTATGTAGGCTATTTTGAAAATACCAAAATGCCAAACTTAAATGTATTTGGATACAGATTACATTTATTTTTTTATTACTTTAAAATACAAAATCGAATTCGTGTTTCAAATACATGTGGGCAATATCTGAAATGCTGAAATGGTATCTACCTGAAAGCGTAAAGTGTGTGTTTATTTTATGTTGATACATTTATAAAATAGTTTAGATCTGAATTTGTCTTTGTAATTCACTGTCAAACAAGCCTGTTTAAAAGGCAAATCTGTGAAATCCTTCGTTCTGCAGAGAAAACGGAAAGAAGAAATGTAGTTGAAATCGATTTCTGGTCTACTTTTATTAAAAGAATAGTAAGCCTAAATAGATCGTAAAAGCGATCGTACGAATAAATCAGAATTACGGAATGTTGTGAAGTGCTTTGTAAGGAGTCAGCGTCATGCAGTCAACTGCTCCATGTTAGACCAACACATTTTGTACCTACAGTGTGATTTTAATATCTAAATTCTTTATCATTCATGTCATTATGTTTATTGTTCAATTATGTTTAATTTGTTAGATATAATACAATACATTAAAATTAATTATTAGATTAAATCGTTCGTACCTGTAGTTAGTACAAAGAAAGAAATGACAACTGCGCTGTGCCGTATATATACAACTGTAATGAGAGGAGCGGAGATATTGAATGACTTGCCATGTATGAAAAACGGCCATACATATAGGCTACTCTCTCTTCACTGCAGCATAGTTGTCACCGTTATCACTTTGGGAGAGTAAAGGGTAGACCACCGCTTGATTAGTGAATGTCTTGAGGACAGCCATTGTGCCCTCCTCTAGATTTCTAACTACAAATGAATTGGTGAAAATAAAACAATGGCAACGTGGATTATAATTGATTGCTGGTTTGCACACAAAATGTGTATTTAATTATGTGGACAATTCGATGAATATTTGAGGAGAAAAAAAAACGTTTCCTGGCTGTTAAAATAAAGAATATTTTAACATTATGCAAAAATTATAGGCCATTATAAGGTTTTCAGCTCTTCATGAACAGACGGCGACTCTTTAGCACTTAAAGCGCCTACTCACTCGTTCTGAAACGAACGTTCCTATAACCTCACATGTAGAGAGACACTTTCAGAGCTAGATACATAATTATCGGGAGACGCGGCCCTGATTTTTTTTTTAAACAATATAATTCCCCCCTTAATTTAAATAAGTATCAAAAATGAGCGCTTCCATGCTCGCTTCTTTGTACTCCTCAACTTCTTTCTCCTGTGGCACGAAGCTGATCTGCAGTCTGTAGCATGCAATAGAAAGCAAAGCACACATTCTATTAGCCAGTAACAAATGCTTAGATCAAACCAGACGATTTAGAAATATGTGTCTGTGTCTATATGTAAATATGGATTGCTCATAGTTAGTTTGCCACAGCGCTGATGTCCGTCATTGTAATGTCTTTGTGTTGTTCTGTGTGCAACTTATTAGAATAATAAGTGCAGAGTCCCCAACAACGTCGCGTGAAATCCGGTTAAATATGTTTATTTTTCATTACTTTCATTTATGAAGTTGGGCATCGCTGTTTCAGAAACCCTGCCTTACTGTAATCATTTATTGTATTGCATTTAAATACTGCTTAATAACAAGCTATCTATATGCTGATTTGAAACAGACGTTTGCGTCATTGTATTGCTTTATTGAGCTCGATGTTATAAGAATGATCTTAAGAACGCGATTTGCACTTTATCTGGAAAATTAGCAGTATACATTTCTGTCTATTGTATATAATACAGTATATTCTATAGTCTGTTGTAGAAAGCAAACTATGCAAAATCAGTGTGTGTGTGTGGGGGGGGGGTATGAAAAAAATTCATAGGGTATTATGAAATTTAGTCTGTATATCTGTGTTTATAACAACAATAACAACAGTGTCTATATATTTCAGTGTCGTGAAAACATAATTTCCCGGAATCTGTATATGAGCAGTCAGGCGGCTTGTGCGGCTGTCCAAGGTGCTGAACAGGATATACGCCCTCTCGGTCGTCCGAAGCTAGTAATACAACTAAAGATCTTTTGAATGGAGATTTTGAATGAATATTGTGTTTTAGCAATGTTTCGGTTAAAATAAGTGAATACTTTAAAAAGGAAACGGGACAATACTATTTTAGCATCATAATCGTTTTTATCATTAACAGCCATGTCAATGGTACACCTGAAAAACTATGTGCACATGTAGAAATATTTCCTTCTTAAATATAAGCATCCATTACCTACATATAAATAATTCTCAAATCCTGGACAAAAACGTGTTACATTATGCTCACAAAATAGGTGAAATCATTATAAAATTGGACGGAGAAGACAACATGCAAATAATATAGAAAATAAATACAATGTTTTGCATCCATTCCCTTTTTCCTCCAAAGAATGCGCCAGTTGTAACTTGTAAAACATTATAAAGACTCGGTGAACTACAAGGGGAATGTGGTCTATGTTTATCTAGGACGTCAATACGTTTTAACACTATACAATTTGAGCCACAAAAACACAGCTGTAGAAAGACACACAAAACGTTTACGTATTCCTGTCAACAATGAAGTATGTACTTGTGCCATTTTAAGAACAATTTGCCTTAGATTAATAGTAAATATGTAGATGAATGTTTGCAGAGCCCCTGGCTCTAAGGCTTAGTAAATTTATAGGTAAAAATATATAACAGAGTCCCACATTTGGCAGTATTCTGTAATACAGACATGTAACTTGCGCTAATGGTACGTTTAGAGTCAATGTAAACAAATAATTATGGCGCCAAGATATAATGACATGTATAATGACACTGAATAATGACATTGTATTTTCATGAGTCCTTGGTGGGTTTTCTTTGCAGCAGGAGCGCGCATCGCAGTCTATTGGTTAGTTTACTTGAATTCGTCAGAAATGTGTCGACCACAGCCAAAACAGAACAGTCCGGATAAGGTCACAATGTTAACATAATGTGTATGGTATTATTATCCAGCTTCTGGTGTAAACCAATGGCGTCGAAAGTAGTCGAATGAGGACCAGAGGTGGTCTCTTTTTTCTACGCCAGTGGGTAGAGATACGGGGCTCTCTTTCCTTCTTTTGACATTCTCCTTTTTCCAGTTATCAGTTGTCAGTGACTAGAGTAAACGCTTACTTGTTTGTTTGTTGAATCTCGCGGTCGTCGTTTCTTTTCTACATCAAGCACTAACTCAGAACATGCTGGTCTTTACTAAAGTGGCTTTGGCTCCGTTCTGTCTTTGTAATGAGGACAGAACACTAGCGAAGGGTCCGCCCAGAGAGTCCGGAATGGAGGTGATGGTGCCCGGGGCAGAGGCCCAACCTTGACTCGGCGCAGTGCCTCCCATACCAGCCACTGACGTCTTCACCTGTTCAACCGGGCCGTTCCCTGTGACGCTGACCTGTCCGCCGGTGGGACTTGGTCCACCACAGTTGGAGGTAGGGTTTGGGTTAGGTCCGGGCCCACCAGTGCTGTCAGGATCGGTAGCCTTTGCCTCTTTGCTGTCCTCCTCTCGCAAGTCAGATTTCTTCCCAGACCCGTTCTTTGCTGCAGCAGCTGCGGCGGCGGCTGCACGCTCTTGTTTGCGAAATTTGGCGCGCCTGTTCTGGAACCACACCTGTAGAAAATGCGCATCACATATTTTAAAACATATTTTACATCGCATTGTTCGTGTTTCATTGTATTTACATTAGTACTGAGTAATACAAACTGTCATTATTTAGTATGAATGTTCATTATATTAATAAAGAAAAGTTATTATTATTATTATTATTAATATTATTATTACTATTGCACATAACTGTATTAGCATTTTGAAATGTATAGCATGGGGACTATGAAATGCTACATAGCTCTTAAACCACACACAAAAAAAAAATAAATAAAAAAATAAGCATAAACATAAACATAAAAATAAACCACTAAAACGTAATTGCTCTTGTCATGTAATATTATATAGCACGTCTTTACTTTTTGTCATGTGCTCTTGTCATGTAATATTATATAGCACGTCTTTACTTTTTGTCATGTTTTCTGTTGTAAATTTAAGAAATTTCAGAAGTAAGTGGAGGATATCCCACCTGCACTCTAGCCTCGGTGAGATCGATCTTTAGCGCGAGCTCCTCTCGTGTGTAAATGTCTGGGTAGTGAGTCTCAGCGAACACGCGCTCCAGCTCTTTGAGCTGCGCGCTGGTAAAAGTTGTCCGAATGCGTCTCTGCTTCCGCTTCTCATTCAATCCTCCGTGGTCGGTAAACAGCTTGTAGGGGACTGTTCAAATACATAAGTCAGATGTTAGCCATTTGTGAAAGTATAATTGTAAGAAAATGTACCTAAATGTCACCTTAAATCTTTTGAAGTAAAACTTGCAACTTGTTGATTCACATAATGAAAATGAAACAATTCAAATAATGTTTCTAAACTAAGCGTGTTCAGTGGTTACTTGCATCATAAATTGTTTAAGATAAGATAAAATCGTGATAAAAGATAAGGTTATGAAAATCTGGAGTAATCCTGTTTTCTGTGAAATGCTGTTAATTAAATGTTATTGGAGACTGGATTGGAAACTTGCTTTTGTCATAAATGCTTCTATCTCTTCTATTGTTGCTACTGCAACTTCAATTCAGTGTCAATAATGAGCTTAAGTCCCTGGTTATTTCATTATTTTCGAAGGTTTATGTCTCATCGCAAAGTAAATAAATTATGCCTATCATTTTGGCAGCTTAAGATAATTTTGTTGGCGGTTAGGGTGTGACTGGGATAGTGTAACGCCGT